GGGTGTGGCAACACATCCCATCCAAGCTCCAATAATTTTTGACGGGTGATCAAACTTGTGTGTGGTCTCGCGTTGTCGCGATGGAACACAACTCTTTACAATTAACAAGCTCTGGACATTTCTGGATGATGGATTCATTCAAACTGTCCAATTGATGACAGTACACATTTGAATTGATTGTTTGGTTCCTTGATAGCTCGAAAAACATGACACCTTTAAAATCCCACCACACTGAGAGCATAACCTTCCTCTGATGAATGTCTGCTTTTGATGTCGTTTAAGGCGAATCATCATGTCGGGGCCAAGACCGTTTGCACACCACATTGTTGTAAACAATCCATTTCTCATCACCAGTTATCAGTCGCTTCAAAAAAGGATCGTTTTCCTCACGTTTATACACGCCGTCAAATGAACTTCTTTGAGTTCATGCGGAACCCAAATATCGAGCTTGCTTACGTATCCCAGCTTCTTCAGGTGGTCATGAATGCTTGAATGATGGATGTTCAATGTTACTGCAATCTCTCGTGTCGTGTAATGTGAGTTTGATTCGATCAATACCTTTATTTTGTCCTCATCAACCTCGGTGGGCCTCCTTGACCGAGGAGCGTCGTTGAGATCAAAATCATCAGCATGGAATTTCGTGAGCCATCGTTGGCACTGACGTTCTTGTAGAGCAGGGTTGTCAAACTGGTGGCCCACGGGCTGCATGCGGCCCTCAGGTAATTTTTTGTAGCCCGTGATGCTCTGAAATAAAATGAAAAGAGAAAAAATTTTTATGAAGAAAATAGCGCTTAAGGGAGATCGAGGCAATACCGTACACACAATTCCCTCGTTAACCCTTTAACTACTGAAGACGAGTATACACTGGCCCAGTGTCTTTCCTGGGGGCCTGTGGGCGTGTATAAAAGCGCTGACTCAGAGCTGGCCGAGTGGCACGATGATTAAGAACTGGCTTGGGACGCCAGAGGGCCCCAGTTCGGATCCCACATATGAGGGCCAGTGACACTGCCCTCCACAGCTAAGATGCTGAACAACAGCTCAACCTGGAGCTGGGTTGCGGTGAGTCGCCAGCGATGGCGTAGGCTGCTGCCCCTGTGGCAGTGGGATGCCATGGGCTACCTACCATGTGTAGCCAGCAGCCAGCGTGAGCGGGCAGCAGCCGCAGTGAGCAGCCGTCCAGAAGCCGGTGACTGATCTGCCTCACCCGGGAAGAGCGCAATGATGGTGCCAACTTGGGCCAGTGAAGCAACGTCCTCCACAACTAGACTGAAGAACAAAACGACAGCAACTTGTCTGTTCCCCTTCCCCCAATTCCCCAGCACTGTTCCCATCCCCCCAACTCCCCAATTAAAAGAAAAAAAAAAAAAGCACTGACTCAGTTCCGGCGACGTTTGGAAGCGATATGTCTGCCACTCTGTGTCACGTAATGTAAACAGATCCCAATAGCGAAAAGGTTAAAAAGAGCACTCGGGTAAAAAAGAATAACTTTAGTTTTATAAATACATTAAATAAAATAAATGTTTAAATAAAAGCAATTATATAGTGTTTAATTATCCTATCCATATTCCTGAATCCTCACTTCAGAATATAAATTTAACAAAATTTGTAAATGTGATGTGGTCCGCGTGAATCTTGCCTGTTGCACCAAATGACCCGTGTTTTAATTGAGTTTGACACCCCTGTTGTAGAGCATTGTCACCATAAACTTTATGCAACTTTTCACAAGCTTGACGCGCGTTCTTCCATTTATGGAAGTAAAACAGTAAAATATGGCAAAAATGCACTGTTTGGTCTTCCATCTTCAACTTGTTGTAAAATCTCCAAAACTCAAGTAAATCGCTCATTTTGTGTGTGTGTGAAATTAATAATTGATAAGCATCTGTAAAGGGCATGAAAAACAAGAAGCAAATGCTAACAGAGAATTTTGCACATTCGTAAATAGGTTTAAATCAATATATGATAGAAGTCGCTCTTTTTTTTTTTTTAGAATGAAGCTAGCACTGTCATCTGTCAAATGACATAGCAATAACATAGATGCGAATGGCTCTAGTACTTCCAAAAATGAACTAGTGCCATCTGTCGCAAACATGCGTCATGACTTTTCCGACAACCCAATAGATGATTTCTCATACCTCCTTTCTTCTCACAGCTTCCAACATCTCCTCACGCTCCACTCTCAGCTGATGACCTTCCTTCTTCTTTCCTGAGAAAGTAGTCGCTCGTGTCCAATTCTTCTGCCACAGCCACAAGCACTTGTGCTACATTCCCTGCCTTCCACTTAGCCCCAGATGTCCCTCTCTGGCTCTCCTCTGCATCCACTTTTTCTCCTTCTCTTCCCAGGGCTCAGACCTCACTTCTCTCTATACTCACTCCCCAGGTGATCTCAGCCAGCCCCATGACAGACCATGAAAGACCATCAAAACACTGAGCATTCCTGATTGCATGCCTCCAGCCTGGTACTCTGCCTTGAAATCCAGGCACACACATCCAACCATCTATGTGACAGTTTCCCTTGGAGATACTGCATTCAGCAGGTCCAAAGTCCACCTACCCATAGGACATTGTCCTATCCAGATCCCTTTGGATCTGCTTTAGTTTCTTTGCATCATTATTAGGGTTTTGCATGTTTTTGCATCTGAGAGTTTGCATCTGCAACTCTCAGGGCATTACCCTGGGCTCTGGACCACGTTGCCAATGCACCTTTGTTGCATATTTAGGGAATGAGAAGTGCCTGGGAGCTTAAACATTCTCCTGGGGCTGCCTTTAGTCAAGGACTTACCAGTGTAGAACAACTTGGAGAAGTACTAACTCACCCTCCAGAGCTCCCTGCAGGATTAGATGCCCTCTGCAGGATTCTGCCTGAGCTTGCTCCCCTGCAGCCCTGCTTCCTCCTGTTTCTTTGGCTCCTCTTTCACATTCCACATATAGTCAATCAGGTCAGTTCCACCTTCAAATTATATCCCAAATCAGCATGCTTTTCGTCCCCTTCACCAAGACCACCTAAGTCTAGTCCACCATCAGCATGCACCCAGACTAGTGCAGTAGCCTCCTCATTGGTCTCAATGCTCCTTATTTTGTGTCAGACAGTCTTTGCACACAACAGCCAGAAGGCTTTGAGCATGCATAAGAGACCAGGAACTTAAATGCTGCTGTATGCTAATAACAACCACTAACACTGCACTTCCCCAGGGTCAGGCACTATGCTAAGCCCTCTACATTCATTCAGTTGTCCCATGCCTGTATACTGAGTGCCTGCTGTGTACCAGGCACTCTACCCTGCACGGGATAAGGTGATAGAGAAGAGGCAAGCTGAGTCCTTTTTGAACTGACATTCTAGGTGGGTAGACACACTTAGTAAGTGTGGAAACCAATAAATAATTGGAGATTGTGACAAGTGTCATGAATAAACAGGGTGATGTGGTCATCACCAAGAGAGGGCAACTTTAGATGAACAGAGAAGGCTTCCTAGAGGAGGTTATCCCTGAGCTGAAGGTGGAAGGATGAGGAGCTAACCTTGCAAAGAGCCAGGTGGAGAGCATTTCAGGCACAAGCCCTGGGGCCAGGGTGGCTGAATGGGTCAGCAAGAGGGAAGTGATGACACAGATTGGGCAGGGCCTTGTGGGCTGTAGTGAGGACTTCGGCTTGCACTGAGTAAGGTGGGAACCATGGAGGGTTCTTGATCAAAGAAGCAGCATGAACTCAAGTGTCCACAGGTGCCCTCCTGCACCTGTGGGAACAGTGGAGGCAAGGAGCATGATGGCAGGGGCTAGGGACCAGGGGTGGGCTGCACTGGTCCTGGTGAGTGATAATGGGGGCTGTGAGCTGAAGATATGGGGAGAAGTGGGCAGGCTTAGGAGCTATTTTGGAGTTGGGGCTAAGAGAAGCTAGGGTAAGGAAAAGCACACAAGACAGTAGGTATGGGCTTTGGGGTCAAGGAGACCTGGGTTCAAATGCCTTCTTGACCCCTTTGCTGCTGGGCAACATTTAGAGATGTCGCTCAACCTCCCTGCCTCAATTTATTAATGGGGAAAGAAATAGAAGAAGGGTATGGTACGCAGATAGGAAATACTCAAAAAATGGCAGCTAGTTAAAAAATTCCAGGGGCAGGGGATATATGGGGGAGAAAGGCAGTTAATACGGTGGGGCAGCGGTCCCAAAGGTGAGACCCATAGCTGGCACTAGGGGGCAGCAGCAAGCCTCCAGGCAGCAGGGCTGGGCGCACTTTGCAAGTCCGAAGCGGCTAGACTAGACTGTAGCACCTCAGGTGACTGGGCCTAGGGACAAAGCAAGCCTGGGGCCACGTGTCCAGGCCATGTGACTGAGGAGGAGGGCAGGAGGTAGAGAGGCCATGGCCGCCTTCTGGAGTCTAGGCACCAGAACCTAATAAAGGACATTTGTTCAAGAGAAACCTGAGCAGCCTGCACAGTGGAATTCAGGCGGAGACAGGGGCCAGCAGATAGGGCTTCCTGCCCCTCCTTCCCCTGGGGACAGTCACCCCAGCTCTAGAATCCCAGGGCCATCAAAGCCGGGGTTCCCCCTACCAGCCTCCCACTGCCCCTACAAACACTCCAGGCTCAGGCTCTGTACAATAGGCACTTTATTAGTGGTTGGAATGCAGTTACACGCAGGGGTGTGTGGACAGAACGGGGGTGGGAGGGCTGGCAACAGGCACAGGACACAGAGACCCCAGGCAGGGATTTCTCCCTCTCCAGGATCCTGGAACGTGGGAGATCCTGGTGCTGATGAGCAAAGACATGAATTCAGGGGCCTTCGGATATGGTGAAGGGGGAACCAGGAGACCAGGTCCCAAATTCAACAAATTTGGCAAAAGGATCCTCAAGATGAGGTGACTGGGCACAGGGGCCTGGTGTGCCTGTGGCATCTGCCCCACACTCCTTCCCCTGAAATCATCCCTTGGGTGGATTCAGTTTTCTTTTCTCTCTTACAAAGAGAGCTGTGTCAATAACTAGCAGAGGAGGGGAGGAGAAGGGGCGGAATTCAGCCCAGCTCTTCTAGCCAGCCAGCAGGTTTCCATTAGGCAACTATTAGCAGTCTCCTCCCTCCTGCTCCCAGCGGCCTCCCAGAATAGTCTCCCTCTTCATCTCCCATCCAGAGGGCCTGCTGCTGCCTCCCATGCCAGGAGACACCCCCACCTGGGCACGCACTCCCACCCCAGCCATGCCAGACAAACGGAAGGCACTCCTCTGTGGCCCTATCTCAACTGTTGAGACAGACAGAAAAAAGCTAATAGACGCTTTAACGCATGTCCAACTTAAAATAATAATAAAGAAATGCATGTGGTGGTCTGTGAGCCAGTTGTTCAGCTATGGAGAAGAGGCTGTCCTGGCTTGAGCAGACACAAGTGAACGGGGCCTTTAGGAACCGGAGCTTACTGTGGCCACCGCTCCCGCAGACACAAACACCAGTCAAACCATAAGATGGAACATGAAGCTTGAAACAGCCCACAGAGGTTGGGCTCCATCGCATGCCAGACACATCAAGAGCCCTCATGGGGACTTCTCCCTATCCAGGCCAGTGAGGGCTGGAGTTACTCATTGTGCAGTCTTGGGGGGGCCGCCATGAAAAGACCAACTGCCCCTTGGCATGGGGAAAAGATGCCACAAATCCTCCATGTACCTGGAAACTGGGGTAATTGGATGATGGGGGATGGCAGTGACAGGACTTCAGGTTAGCCCAATGGGCTGGGGGTTCTGACCCTGCTGCCGAGCACCCAGAATGAGATTTTCCAGGGAGGTGGGGAAAGACAGGGCCTTTAGGACTCCGCCAGCTTCTTGTTGGTCTTGTTCAAAAGCTTCTTGAGGTTGGAAGACATGAAGTAAGGCCTCTCGGCCGAGCCATCATTCCTCTCCAGGTCCTCCACTGTGGAGAGAGACCCCAGAGCAGGTGGCATGAGGGGAGCCCACAGGCAGGGGCTTCTGGGTACACAGCGCGGGCAGGCGGGGGCCACAGAGAAGCCTCAGAGGGTTAGGAAGCAAGACATACTGTGGCTGGAGAGGAGTGGACTACAGTGGGCTCGGGACACACACACGCTCCCCACACTCCCAGGCAAGGAAGCCCCGCATGCACCCCGAGACTACAGGGAGGAAGCAAGGAGCAGGCCTCCCTCCTTCTCTACTCCTCCTACTCCTCGACTTCCACTCGCTTCCCCTCCTCCGCACTCCCCTTCAACAGGATGTCTCTCAACTCAGGCGACATGAAGTAGGGTCGCTCCTGAGAGCCGTCATTCCTTTCCAGGTCCTCACCTGGGCTCCCCCCAGGAACCAGCAGGGGGAAAAAATGGGGTGGTCAGGAAGGAAGGGGAAGAGGGAGGCAAGGAAGAACAGGGAAGCCAGCAGGCATGGAGGAAAGGAAGAGAAGAGAGAAAAAAAAACACAGATGGAGAGACCAGAGTTAGTGGCAGCCACACATTGCCCCCCCCCAACAAAGACAGAAACCCGGAAGCCAAGGGCCCGGGGGTAGAGCATTCAAGCTGCAGCCTGGACCAGGGGACAATAGGATGGAGCAGCTCTGAGGGCAGGGAGGAAGCTGAGAGGGCATGCAGGGCCCTAGTATGAGGAACAGCTAGTCCCTGGGAAGCGGGGGGTCCCAGGCAGGTGAATATGTGGCCCCATGGGAGAAAGATGTTCTGCCCAGAGGGGAAAAGGGAGTCAGGGCCCAGCAAGGGTCAAGGTGAAGGGTCACTCACAGAAGCAGAGGAACAATGTGTCCACACACATGCCATAGACGCTGAAGAAGCCATGGGCAATCAGGTAGGAGCCGATGATCACTGTCTGTGTGATGGGACAGGAACTGTTTCTATCCTAGCTCCTGCTCAGGGCAACCCCCACCCACCCAGTCCCTCCCAGGGAAAGATCATTCCTCTGCTGATAAGCCTTAGAACAACAACCTAACTCCTCACCTGGGGGCAGGGCCCTACCATCCACAGGACATTCCTTACTCTTTAACCCCAGGGCCTTGGCACATGCTGTTGCTCTGACTTACTCTCGTTTATTATGCCTCTTCATTGTTCTGCTTTAAGCTCAAAACTCAAGAACTCAGGTACCACCCTCCTCCAAAAAATCACCTCTGATATCTAGACTGTTTTATGCTCTCCTAGTACTGAGCACCCCTCCTCTGAGGCCTTCATCTGGTTGCATTTAATGCAAGTTTAGGGCATTACAGGTTTTGCTCCCATCCCCACTAGGCTGTGTCTGTCCTGATTATTGCTATGTCCCCAGCAATTTGGTGACTCATAGAACCTTGGTAGGTACCTGATAAACATTTATTGACTGAAGAGAGTGGACCTTGGAGAGATTAAATAACTTGCCCAAAGTTACATATCCTGAAGCTAGCAAAAAGAGGACTAAGATAAAAATCTAGGTCATAGGGTTCCAAGACCTATACTCAGATATAACGCTTCCTAGAGTGATAACCTAATCCCTCTTCCTCCTCCGCACTTCACTCTCTCCACACCAGCCACACTGGTTTCCTCACTGCCCCTGGCATGGTCCTGACTTAGGGACTCTGTCCTTGTTCCCTCTGTCTGGATGTTGCCTTCATCTCCTTCAGATTTTAAATCTGACATTACTTCCACAAGGAAGCTGCCTGGACTCCCAGACCTGCCCAAATTCTCCACCACAGGTTCCAACAGTTTCCTAATTCTGCCCTGTGGCATATACCAGTTTGCAATCACGCATCCACCCACATATCATTATTGATTAATGTCTATTTACCTCTAGACTATAAGGCCTATAGAGAGAAGCCCTTCCTCCCCCTGGGCCTGGTACATAGTAGGTGCTTAATAAATGTTTATGGGTTCAATAGATAACCAATCCTCTACTTCTGACCACCCAGATCTGTCCAGTCAAAGGAGGCCAGGTGAGTCCCAACACCTTCTTTTTCCCCAACCTCTGCCCATCCCCAAGGTCCATACCAGTATAGGGACCCAGTAATAATTGAGAGGCGGTGCTGTGTCTTGAACGATCCTAATACGATGGGTGAAGAAGAAGAAAGCCAGGATTCCTGGAGAGGGGTTGGAAACCGAAATGGTTGAGGGTTTTAGCTAAAGGAAGTAGTGTCCCCAAGAAGACCCCGCCCATCACAGAAGAGGACATGAGGACACCCCAACACCACAGGTTGGGTGAGCAGCACTCACCCACACTACCCACAACCAGAAGTTTGCCCAACAGGAAGAGGAAGTCGGTAACTTTGTCCAGGACAGCCACTCTGCAGGGACAAGTGAAGAGCAGGTGTGAATGTTGGCTCAGGGATCAGGGGAAGAGGAAGGTGGTGAGGGGATGGTGTTTTCCTTGACCTGATGATGTTTCTCATGAGCAGGAAGAAGGCATTCCTGGCTGAGGTGCAGAAATTGGTGCCATAGATGGCAATCTGGAGGGAGATAGGAGAGAAGGATCAGGCCCCCTGTGGGAATGAGGGCTTCTCCCACCCAGCAGGAGCTGGTGGGTTGGTTCTGGGTCCCAGGCCTACTCACCATGATGTAGGCATTCCTGTTGAGGAATTTGATGAACTTCTCCAGGCACCAGAAGCAGCATTTGAGACAGGTCATGAGGAACTTGGCAAACTTGTTGTCCGCAGCTGGGAGAGAATGGAGGGATGCAGAGATGAGGGGAGAACCCCACCTCCTCATTACGTGTACTTGCTGCAGTGTAGGACTCCCGGAGTCCACCTTCTCAAAGAGATAGGGAAAGGAGACTTCTTGATCCAGGACCCTGGGGGTTGTGCCCCCAATGAGGGACCCAATCTTGATGCTTTTCAGCCCAGTCTCCAAGACAGGAACCAATCACAACCCACACTGCTGCACTGGCCCCGCCTCCCACACGCAGAAATCAATCTTTGCAGACTCCTTGGCCCCAACCTACAGTACAACCAATCCCAGCTCCATAGCCCCTCTCTTATAAAGAGGAAAGCAGTACTAGCCCCGCCCTCCACTGTGCAAACAAATCCCATCCCAACTCTCTTTTCAGGAACTGGTGCTGGCCCAGACCTATTGGTTCCTGTGCCATGATAAGAACTCCACCCAATGGGCTTTCAGTAGCTCCTCCAAGGCAGAAATCAATCATCCAAGCTCTTTCACTCCCCCCCCCCCCCCCCCCCCGTCTCTCCATAGTCAGAAACCAATCACTGTCCCACCACTTTAGCCCCCAAATACTAGTCTGCCCCTCAGCCACGGCTCCCCAATTTAAGGCCAAAGCCAGCAGCACGTGGGCCTCACCTTTTAAGCGCTGATCCAAGTACTCCAGCACCACTCGGATGATCTGTACAATGGCCAAAATGAGGGCACCAAAGGCCAGGGAGCCTGTGTGGTACCTGTGGGCCAAGGGCATGGTCAGTGGCTGGGCCAGGCCTTCTTCATCCCATCTGTCCCCACCCCCAGCCCACTGGGGTCACACCTGAGTGCCCGGCTGAAGGCAGAGAAGAGTGGGAAGGCAGGCAGGTCATCTGGCTTGTGCAGGGCCCAGTAGTAGGAGGCAAAGGCCCCAGCTAAGGTGACCTGTCCCAGAGCCAGCACGAAGTTGGCCAGCCAGAAGAACATGAAGGCATTGAAGATCTGCAGGCCCAGCAGGGCCCGGTGGTAGCCCGACTCACCTCCATAGAAGGCAAACTGGCAGTGGGCACCGGGGCACAGGCGGGATTCATTGGAAGAGGGGAAGGTCTGTGGGAGGGACACAGAGCCCAGTCACAACTTAGGGACCTGGGGTTTGGAGTGGGCTCTGTGTACCAGGTCTGGGTCAGCTACACCATGGGGTGGGTCAGGAGTCATGGGGATCAGAGTTAAGTCGAAGGGTTGGGGGCTCAGGATTGCAGCTTGTAAAAGGGGTTCTAGAAGCAAGACTAGAGATCATGGACTCAATGGGTGTCAGTGAGGCAGGATAGGCTATTTTGGGGATCAAGGTGGGGTCATGTGTCAGTAGAGTGGCCCTGTGGACAGGATAGGAGTGGCAGAGATCAGTATGAGGACCACAGATGTTAGGTTAGGGGTTTCTGGAAAGCAAGAAAGGGGTTCTAGAAGCAAGAACTGGCCATCACTGAGTTAAGAGACGGGTGTGGGGCAGAAAATAAAATCAAAGGGGAAAAGGTAGGTGGTCCAGCATTCAGGGATGAGGGAAATGCCAAGTTGGATCTCTTCCCCTCCATGCCCGCCATATCCAGCACAGGGCAGACAGCTAGTCCCAAATGTTTATTAAATGGTCCCCAAATAGGGATGAAAGGTTTCAGATCCTCTATGGGCTGCTAGGGAAATAACCACCCCCCCATCTCTGGACACCAACCTCAGGGTTGCAGGTTTTCCCAACAACAGGACAGGTGTTGACATCACCAAAGATCTTATAAACGGCTTCATTGGAAGTGGACAGGAAGCTGAAGGCTCGTTAAGGAATCCGAGGTCAGAGACTAGGGACCCCAGAGGCTTGTGGGAAAGGATCCCTTCCCCCACCAGGTTTCAGCCCTGTCCCCAAGCTGCAGGTCACTTATAGGCAAGTTTGGTCCTTAGCCATCCCCGGGATCAGGGTTCGGAGTCTGACAGTGGATACACAGCAGTGCTGGCCCAGTAGGCGATGCAAAGGCACAGCAAGAAGAAGGTGACCAGTGGGTACAACATGGAGCACATCACGTATCCCACAGCCCTGGGGAGGAGCAGACACAGGCATCAGGGCTCAACCAGCCCTGGGACCACCCCAGCCAGACCCCTGGCACCCACCTACTGGCTTCTTTGATGAGTGCAATGGCGATGAGAATTCTCTTCCGTAGAAATATTAGCAGCAAGATGATAATAACCTCGAGGATGCTCAGAATTATCACTGCAGGGGGCAGGGGGTGTCTGAGTCTGCCAGCTGCCTGGGCTCCCCATTCCCTCCCAGGCCGCGCTGGAGACAAGGTTTGGGGGTTAGGACTCACTGAAGGCCAGCCAGGTCTGCCGCAAGTGCAGGTACACTCGGAGGTCTGTCTGAAAGCCAAGGTCCACCAGGGAGACGTCAGAGCCGGCCTTACCACGCAGTCGCGAGTACTCCATGTAGCAGTGAAATATTCCTGCACAAGGGAACCGCCATGCTACAATTGACCTCAGCCTACCGACTGCTCCCCCAGCGTTACACAGCAGGTACAACCACCCCGATGTCACAGAAGCAAAAACAGAGGCTGAGAGCATTACTTGCTCCTGCCTCAGGGCTTTCCATACTTGCTGTTTCCGCTGCCTGGTACATCCTCTCCCTGACTAGATCCTTCACATCCTCCAGTCTCTGCTGAAAAGTCACCTTCTCATGAGACCTTCCAGAAACCCTCCCCCTTTTTAGCATCTAACCCTCTCACACTCCAACTTCTTATCCCTCTTCTTGCTTTGGAATCCAATAGGGTTTTCTGGTTTGTTTCTTGTCCATCTCCCCCATACTCAGAATATAAGCTCCACAGGAGCAAGGATTTATCCTGTTTTATTTACTGCTATAAGCCCAGGACCTAGAAAACTGCCCAGGACACAGTAGGCACTCAAAACAAATTTGATGAATGAATGGGTGTCAGGATTCTGTGTGGAGGCTTTCCTGACCCCCTTGCCACCCTGTAACAATGATTCATGGGTAGGGAGGGAGGACATGGGTGTTAACATCCAGGGGGGTAGCATTAGGGATTGTTAGCATTTCCCTTAGCTCTTTATAGAAGAAAACTGTAAAATACAGATCAAGTTAAAAAAGCCTAGTCACCTACGAGAAAAATGCCAGCACCCAGCCAGAAACCACTATTAACGTGAATATTTTAATGTCTGTGTCCTCAGGTTGGGTTGCATACCAAGCATCTTTCCCCCTGGAAAGTTTAAATGAATAATCAGACAATAAAGCACTGGGTTTTGAGTTTGACCTCTGGGTTCTATAGGCCTCAGCTCTCCAAGGCCCTCCCCCACCTCCTCCTCACACTATCATCTTTTCATTAAGCCTCCTAACTAGTAAATACTAATTATCTCCATTTTATAGAAGAACAAATTGAGGCACAGGGAGGTTGAATCATTTGCCTAAAGTCACAGAGCAAGGAATTGACAGAAACAGCATTTGAACCCCACAGCGTGCATCGTTAGCTACTATGCTAAGCAGTCTACCTGGGAATGAATGCCTTTTGGTGTTGATAAAATACAGACCCAGGCCCTAGTTTGTAAGACTATGATTTAACCCACCCCCCAGCAATGAGTATTGAGACTGTTTCCCAGTGTCTGCTGTCACAAACAACACTGAAATGAACATCTTCACAAATCTGCCAAGTAAAAGATGAAAGACATCTGATGACTCAGGAGATTCTTGATGGGCCACTGACAGGTCAAAGGGCATGGCCATTTTGCAGACTATGGTGGGGGGAGGGCACAGGGAAGGGGAGACGCACCATAGCCCAGCACCAAAATCACCATGACGATCATCACCCAGACCATAATGCCAGCCAGGAAGCGGAGCAGCACGATGAACAGGAGGCTCATCACCATGGCGATGACCAGGCCTCTGGGAGATAAAATGGGGGCATGAGCGGGCCCCACCCTCTCACCAACCTCAGACTGCCTAGCCTGGGGAGGGCCACCGTCTCTCACAACTTACATGACAATCCAGTACCAGGAGACTGTGTAATCTTCAAATATCCGCATGGCCAGCTGCCGCGCCTCCAGGACCCCGTTGGCCTTCCTAGGGTAAGATAAACAAGGGTAGTGTCAGGCCCCCTCCCTGATTGGGCCAGGCCCAGGGGATGCCTTTTCCCACCCAAGAAAGCTCAACACCAGTATGGTGGGCCGCAGTCCTCACTTGGCGCCTTCCACCAGCTCTGTGATGTTTTTCCGAGCACCGAGCCCATCCTCATAGGTAGTCTCATTGCCCACCATGAGGACCCCCTTGTGGGCATGGATGGCTGGGAAGCATCGCCGGGCCACTGCATGGAGCAAGGGATAGAACAGCATTCACGTGAGATCCCTGAAAGCTCCCCACACCCCACCCAAGCTCACAGGACTCCAGACTCACAGGGTGTGCTGGGGGTGAGGACAGCGGGGCAGTCGCCATCCCGAAGCACCTCAGCCACACTCTGCCGAGAGAGGGGTGGTTATGTGGTTAATTCTCCAGGCCAGCACCCTCCACCTGGCCCTGCCCGGGATCTCCTCACCTTGCTGTTCGGGAAGCCAGGCACACAGAATTGCTTGTAATACTCAAAGTCCTGGGATGCGTGAGCACTCAAGAAGGTGAGGTATCGGTCAGGGCATTTCTCCACGCAGATCTTAGGGGAGTGGAAGGCAGGGTTGGGTGGGGTCAAACACCTGATCCCCACTCAAAACAGAAGTTCTACCTCCGGTTCACCAGAGAAAAAGAAAAAGCTGGGAGAAAAGCCATCACTACAGGGGGAAAAGGACCTGGTGATGTAAATCGGGGATAGAGAAGGGGACAGAGAAGGGGACAAGTTACCTGGGGGGTGGGACACTGAAATTCCAGCAGGACCAGGGGGCTGGCACACTTCACAATGTTGAAATAAAATAGGTAGGGTTTGTTCCTGGGGTTGGGGAAAGGAGATAGAAACTGTCAAGACTTCTCAACCACCCTATATAAAGTATCTTAATGAAAACAATAATAACAATAACTACAACAGCAGCAACTCCGTGCCAGGTGCTGTTCTAAGCTCTGCACGCCTATAGGTTCATCTAACCATCACAACAGCCCTATGAGGGTGGGACTGTTATGATACTCATTTTAGAGATGGGGAAAATGGGCCCTACAGAGGTTGAGACACTTGCCCTAGGTCACACAGCAAGGGAGTGGTGCAGCCCTCACTTTTACAGGTGAGGTAAAAGAACTCCCTCTTTTACCTCATCTGTTCATTGCCACCTGACATCAGATCCGATATTGTCTCCTCTCTGTCTCTCCCCTAAAACATGGGCTGCCACAGGACAAGACTCTTAATGTCTCATTTAATGCTGTGTCCCCAGGGCCTAGAGAACTGGCTGGGGATGGTGGGAGTTTTATAAACACTTGTTGACTGGACTAATGGACCTAGAACCTTTTCCCCAGGAGTCATGAAGCCCTCCTACCCACTCCTCCCCAGACCCACCAGGCCCCAAGGAGTCAGACTTACGCATTTTTCGTGCCCTTCTGCCCACAGAACTCGCCTCGGCTATCAGTAGGGTAGATCACCTTTCGAGGGTCCCCATGGGTCCAAGCTGTGGAGGGATCCAGGGACACTGAGGCACTGCCACTCCTCAGCACCAGCCCCACTCCTGTCCCAGAGCTGTGGCTTGCCCTCCCACACTAGAGCTCCAAGTCCTGTCCCCATCCTCCACTCACCTATGATCCCTACAGCCACATAGCCCACGATGGCCAGGAGGAGGAACACACAGCAAATGATGTCTGTGCAGCCCCTGGGGAACAAGGGACAGTGTCAGTCAGGGTGGGAGCCTTGGTGCCCTGCGTATCATGGACCCACTGTATCCTGCACACATACTTCCATCCATGTGTTATTTGGATGCATGTTCCTGAGTGGTGCGAATGCTGTACCACAGTGCACATGCCTTTTAAATTTTAATACCTAATGATACACTATCTTCAAAGCAGTTTGCAGCAATGTCCAGCTCTCTTTTGATTCAGAGTGCCCATTTCCCCACATCTTTACCAGCATTAAATATTGTTTTAAAAAACTTAAGGCTGGGCCGGCCGAGTGGCGTGATGGTTAAGAACTGGCTTGGGATGCCAGAGGGCCCCGGTTCGGATCCCACATGTGAGGGCCAGTGACAGTGCCCTCTACAGCTAAGATGCTGAACAACAGCTCAACCTGGAGCTGGGCTGCCGTGAATCTCTGGCAACGGCCGTAGGCTGCAGCCCCTGTTGCAGTGGGTTGCCATGGGCTACCGTGTGTAGCCAGCAGCCGCCGTGAGCGGCTGTCCAGAAGCTGGCGACTGATCTGCCTCGCCTGGGAAGAGCGCAATGATGGTGCCAACTTGGGCCAGTGAAGCAACATCCTCTACAACTAGACTGAAGAACAAAACAACAGCAACTTGTCTGTTCCCCTTCCCCCAATTCCCCAGCGCTGTTCCCATCCCCCCAACTCCCCAATAAAAATCTTAAAAACAACAACAACAACAAAAAAAAAACACTTAAGGCTGGCCAAGTGACTCAGTGGGCAGCCTAGTGGCTCAGTTGGTTAACAGCGCGAGCTCTGAGCAACAGGGTTGTCGGTTCAATTCCCACATGGGCCAGTGAGCAGTGCCCAAGCTGAGCTGCCACTGAGCTGCCAACAGGTGGCAGGATGGCTCAGCTGGTGAGAGCATGTGCTCCTAACAACAAGGTTTCCGGTTCAACTCCCGCATGGGATGGTAGACTATGTCAACCTGCAACTAAGATTGAACACAGTACCTTGAGCTGAGTGGCCACGAGCTGCCGATGGGCAGCCGGATGGCAAATGGACTTGAAGCTGAGCTAGCTGTGCCTTCCACAACTAAGATTGAAGGATAACAACTTGGCTGTTCCCCTCCCCCAATTCCCCAATAAAATCTTTAAAAAAAAATACTTCAGCTATTTTTATAAGATTAAATATGAACACAATAAAAACTAAAACTACATGGGAATGTGTACAATAAAGAAGTGTTCCTTTCACATACACCTGCCCATAAGTAACCTCTGTTAATGATTTCTTGTGAGTCCTTTGGGCTATTAGGTACAAATGTTTTAAAATTTTATTTTGTTAACTCAAGTGTGATATGATACACCCACTGTTCTGTGTCCTGCTTTTTTTGCTTAATATATTTATTACTCGTGTACATTTTAACAGCTGTGAAATATCACAACCTATGGATCCACTGTAATTTAGCTAACTAGTTCCAAAGGATGGACATTCAGACAGTTGGATTTTTGCTATTTTCCAAAAGACAGCTATTTCATACATTGCTGTCCGTGTGTGCAGTTTATGGAGAATTTTCTTCCTATAATTTTAATCTTTGGAACAAAAAGCTGCACATTTAAAATCTTCATACTTCCAAATTCCCTCCAAAAAACTGCAACAATTAGCTCCAGAGCAGAACATGCGTCGATCTATTTAAATCTTTGCTAATCTGTGACGGGAAATACTGTTTGGCTGTTTTAAATAGCATTCCTTTACTTTCCAGTAAGTTTGAGCATTTTTCCATAACTTCATTGTCTACCAATTTCTTGTTCTAGAAAGTATGTGTTCTAGTCTTTTGCCTCAATTAAAAATGATAATAATTTGTAAGGACTCTTTATATATTAAAGAAATTAGCCCTTTTATCGTCAAGTTGAAAATAGCAATATTTGTCGCCAGTTTGTTGGAGAACAGAGGGGGAGTGTGAAGAAAGGGTGGGGCAGTAAGCCGAGAAACGCCACACATACACAGGAACCCAAATCCCTTACCTGTTGTAAATGGGTCCTTTGAAGGTGGGGTCATACTTCTGTGGAGTTCCTGAAAATCAGCGAGATTGAGCTGGGTGAGCCAAGAGGCTGGGAGACCACCCCTTCCCAGACGCCCCCGAGGGGTATCTTTGGCCCCAGGCGTAAGTTTCAGAAACCCTGCGGATTTTCATCCTCCAGGCGAGCACATCCAAGCCCCCGACAGAGCCGGCCAGGGATGGGGTAAAAGTTGCTAATTGGATTCATCAGCTGGAGGCCACTCACTGCGGAGAGGGCTGGAACCGGAGCCGCCTGGCAGCCAGGCGTAGAGGAAGGGGTTCAAGGTGGTATCCCCACAGGAGGGGGATTCAAGGCCAGGCCCTTTGGGTGAAGGGTGCTGGCAGGTGATGGTGGGGGGACTACAGAGATCGACATTTCTGCCGCCCCCTCACAGTAGCCAAGCCCGGGCGCGGTAGGACTACCTACCGTGCTTCCCGTAGTAATGCTGTCGCTCGCCCCCCATCCCTGCGACAGCCCAGCCCCGGCGGCAGCCCGCCTGCTCCCGCGCCCCCTCGGACCTGAGGTCTGCTGCGTGGGCGTCCCGAGGGAGGGACCCACTGGCAGCGGCTCCTCCCAGCAGAGCCAGGCGGGGCGGCCCAAACCGGTCTGACCGGCCCCGGCGGAGCGGCTGCCTGGGGTAGGCCGGGACTGAGGGAGGTGGGAGGAGAAGCCGGGTGGGGCGGCAGCTGCTCCCGCCACTCACCAGCGGGCCGAATTTAGCCCTCCCCGCCCCCTGCCCAGCCCCGACCCGGGGAACCCTGTAACTTCACTCTGGGGCCCGGGCCTGCTTCCCCACCCACCAGGCCACGGAGCCTAGCACACCTCTCAACCCTGAAAGGGTGCCCGATATCCCCTCATTCTCCAGGTATGGAAACTGAGGCCCAGGGAGGTCAATTGGCTGGTGGCTGGCCCCAAACATCCAACTGTAGAGTATATGAGCTGAAAATTCTCAAACCAGTGAACGTATTTTATTTAGGGCAGCATTTTCAAAAACTTAAATGCCAACAGTTAAACACTGGGAGAGTCTATATAAAAATCCACATGGCCAGTCTCTTGAGAACCGCAAATTGGGGCTGGCAGCCCCCACACCACATCCCTGCCTAGCACTGCCCAGGTGGTCCCTTTGTGGACCCCAAGGCTACACCTGAGCAAGCTTATCATCCCTGCACGCTCTCATAAAGTGAGAATGGATCCTGAAGCCAATGTTTTGTAGAACAAGTATTTATTGAGCTCCTACTGGGAGTAGGCTCAGGGTTGAGCACCAGTACAGTGGCAAATCAGACTTAGTCTCGTGGGTCTGTCCTTGTGGAGCCGACATCCTACTGGGTGGCCCTGGACTCAAATGCTCCTTCTGCCCCACTGAGCTGGAGGACACTTGGGCCTGGGTCTTGCCTTCCCTGAGCCTCAGTTTCCTCAACTGTGAAATGGGGCTAAAGTGTGTAACCAAAACTTGTCAAAGACCAGGCATGGGATGCCAGAAGGTACACAATTGGCATGGAGTTTACAGTTGGAATGGATGTATTCCAACTGTATTGTCAGCTTAGGAGTGTTCAACTGATGTAGGAGTATACAGTAGGTATGGGGGTACCTCCGGCATTGGGCATAGTCAGGGTGGCATTATACAGTCAGTGTAGAGTCATACAGCTGACGTGGTGGTAGATAATTGCCATGGGGATGTTTAATCAGTGTGCGGTATATAGCAGGGGTGGGGGTATACAGCTGGTGGGAGGTATACAGTCAGCACAGAGTTGTACAGGTGTAGGGATATGCAATTGGCAGAGGGTGCACTTCAGTTGGCTGTACCCCCCATGCCAACCATTCACCCTCATGTAAACTATATACTCCCTCAATCTTACTGCATCTCCCAAAAGCCAATGGGGCCAGTTGTATACTTTACAGTATGGTCAACTATATACTGTCGGCATGAGGGTATAGTCAGCAGGAATATAGATTCAGTGTGGGACATACAGTTAGCATGGGATTATAAATGCGGTCCTATACAGTTGGTGCTTAATAATTACAGCTGCTGCCTCAGAGTCAAGCAACACACCCCACCTCCACCCCACTCTGATCACTAATTCAGCTCATCTCTAGAAAAAGGCCACCTACCCACAGTGGCCTCCAGCTATGGAGGCCACACCTGACTTCTGGCCCACAGACTTCAGCAAACAGGCGAGGCTCCAGGCTCCAAGCTATGCCCTTGGGTGACCAGGCCTCCTAGAGAAATCCTGTGGGTTTCCGAAGTCCCTGCCTTTTCCCTGACAGCTGAAAGGCCAGCTAGTCCCAACCCACACACTCCGAGCAGTGCCCAGGCTGAAGCTTCTTCTCTTCTCAGATACACTAGGTCCCTTGAGGACACTCCTGCAGACTCAGGACTTCAACCACTAGCTCCATCCTGATGATTCCCAAATGTTGGTCCCTGGAACCTGCCCACCCCCAGCTGCACGCCCCTGTGACGCCTACCTCCCAACGCTCCACGTGGGGTTCTCATGGGCTTCTCACACTCAGCACTGCCACATCCGAGGCCCTCCCTGATCGTCCAACCTGCCTCAACTCAGAAATGGCAGCTCCGTCACCCAGAACGCTCAGGCCAGAAACCTGGGACACTTCCCTGCTTAACATCAGCTCTGACTTCAGAATCTACCCAGAATCCAACCATTTCTCACCCCCTTCTTGGCCCCCACCCTTATCTTCCAGCTCCCACCCTTACCCCAGGCTGTCTGTTCCTCCCACTGCGGCCAGAGGAGTCTGTAAATACCTGAGTCAGCTAGTCCCTCCTCTGCCCAGAACCCCGATGGCTGCTACCTCATTCAGAGGAGAAGCCCAACTCCTCACAATGGCCCACAAGGCCCTGCCAGCTCTGCCCTGTTCCCTCACTGCCCTCACCTCCTCCCTCTTATCCCTTTGCTCATTCCATTCCAGCCTCACTGGCCTCCTGGTTATACCACAAACTCACCAGGTATGGTCTCACCTCAGGACCTTTGCACGTGTCCCTTCTGCCTAGAAAGCTCTTCCCCAAGATGTCCATGTGGCTCCACCTCCTTTAGGCCTCTGCTCAAACAGCACCTCCTCAGAGAGGCTCTCTCACCATTCTATCTAAAACAGCACCCTTTCCCCTTCCATCTCATCACCTGATTTTATTTTGTTTCTTATCACCATCTGACCGTTGTCCACTCCCATGCCAGAGGGTAGGGATTTATATCTGTTTTGTTTGGGCTGTTTTCCCAGTGCCTGTCATAGAATAAGGCACTCAAGAAGTGTTTGTTGAATGAATAACCACAATATATAATTCATGTATATACAGTTGACCCCTGAGCACCATGGGTTTGAACTGAGCTGGTCCACTTATACATGGATATTTTTCAAAAAATACATACAGTACTGTAAATTAATTTCTCTTCCTTATGATTTTCTTAGTAACATTTTTTCTGTAGCTTACTTTATTGAAGAATATAGTATATAATACATGTAACATACAAAATATGTGTTAATTGACTGTTAACAGTAATGCTTCTGGTCAACAATAGGATATTAAATTTTTGGGGAATCAAAAGTTATACAGATTTTCGACTGCACAGGGGTCGACACCCCTAATCCCCACATGGTTAACTGTATAGCTAAGACTGAAAATGAAAATGTAGCTTAGTTTTCCAGGTGTGCATATCTTAAAACTTAATTTGTGAATTTTATACATAAAAGAATTTAATACATGACAAATGTGAAATTTTCAGTTGGCAGGGAAAGAATAAATCAGTCAGTAGGCTTGACAGTGCATTTGGAAGAAAATAAAGGTACACATAGCAAAACAATTCCACATGGATTAGTCATGCAAATATATAAAAACTCAAAATGATTACAAATATGAAGGGAAAACACAGGAGCATATTTCTACCATCTGAGAGGAGGTGAGACTGGTAAAGCAGGTGGAGGAGAGATAAAGGAGCACTGAAAATTTCATGTGTCAGCTGAATGGCAGCCTGACTGGCAGAGTGGGAGCAGCCACATAACAGCTGGTGCTAACAGTGGACTTTTCAGACACTGGCTCCCTGCTCTTCACCATACTGGAGGTCCTATCATTAACCCATTTTATAGCAGAGGAAACCAAGGCTCACGGAGGAGAAGCAGCTGGCCAAGTCACCTAGCAACAAGTGGTTGTGAGCAGGAGCCACTGAGGGTATTTGAGTAGGAGCATGACCAGGCCAGGCTGGGGAAGGGAAGACACTTGGGGAAGTCTCAGATGGTTCTTACGGAAATCGGTGGCTGCCTAAGGGACAGCTGAGCCATGACCTTGCTGTGTGACCTTGAGTTATCCCTCTGTAAGGTGGAACTAAAGGATGCAGAGACAGTCAGCTGGCATAGGCTTGGCTCAGAGCCTGGCCTGGTGGGCACTTAGGAAATACAAGAGGGAACACTGGTACTGTCATCTGATGGGTTCTACTACTTCTCACTAACATTAGCAGGTGGGGATAGAGGAAGGGGTGAGGCAAATACGGATGGTTTCTGATAATGAGCCTGATCCAAACCCTGCACAATGGGAACCTGCTGAATCTTTGCAACAATACTGCAAAGTAATAAAAAAGTACAGGGTCAGCCCAGTGGCTCAATTGGTTAAGAGCTTGCTCAAGAGTGCGAGCTCTGCGAAACAGTGTTGCCGGTTTGATTCCTGGTCCAAGCTGAGCTGCCATTGAGCTGCCAACAGGTGGCAGGATGGCTCAGCTTACAGCAGCAGTTCTCAACCTTCCTAATGCCGTGACCCCTTAATACAGTTCCTCATGTTGTGGTGACCCCCAACCATAAAATTATTTTTGTTGCTACTCTATAACTGTAATTTTGCTACTGTTATGCATCGTAATGTAAATATCTTTTTGTTTTCCGATGGTCTTAGGCGACCCCTGTAAAAGAGTCGTTCGACCCCCAAAGGGGTTGCGACCCACAGGTTGATAACTGCTGGCTTATAGCAACCTTGTGAGGTTGATCCTATCATTATACCCCCATTGGACAGATGAGGAAAAT